AAAATTTGACAATTGATGAAAGTGCTCCAACTATGAGCCTTTTCTCTGTGACCAGAAATTTCCCTTTTTCAACAAATTTTCTTTTGTCACCAGGTTTTGGCATTAAGAAATCAAGTAAGTTTATTCTTATTGAATTATATATATAATATCAAAGAGGCAAGATTTTGCTGTAACTCCGAGTTTCGTGCTACGCACTCATCAGACAGTATTTAATCTTATTGAATTATATATTTTAAATGAGGGTTTTCAAAATAAGATTATAATCTAACTGTGAATAAAAAAAATTGCTTTAGAATCCTACAGAAGCTATCGAAAAAATMATGCAAACACATTTGCCTGATGAATATGAAGAGCGTAAAAGAGTACATATTGAAGAAATGGAGARACTTGCCAGGTATGCAGGGTTTCTTTATATTTACTGTTATATAATGAAAGACATGTTTACCTTTTTACTTACTGAGAACAATTTAGACTTTTATAAGCAGCTTAATTTATGAATTTGACATTTTCATATCTAGTGTTGCAAGTAATACTGAAGAAGATATTCCAATATTTGTGTGCACCTTGGCATTCCCAACTATGCCATGTCCATTACATATCTTTGAGCCACGTTACAGACTGATGATAAGGCAATGCATGGAGTCTGGGTCCAAGCAGTTTGGCATGTGTACATACGATGAAGAATCAGGGTTAGTTTTATTAAGTTGTTTTTGTTACTTTGTTGTCAGAAGAATTTCCAGAATTCCTATATTGCTCTCCGATCACCTACAAGGACTTGTGGGATGTCCCACTTATTGCATGGTATCTGCACCAATAGCTAACAGTTTTCCTCAATTTCACTTCTCAACATTTTAAAAACATTGCATTGTGTGACTCCAGATTTGCTGAATATGGAACAATGCTTGTGATCCTGGATGTGCAGTTCTTGCCAGATGGAAGGTCATTGGTTAATACAATAGGAGGAAGAAGATTCAAGGTAAAAACTATTTACTACACCATTGTATTGGTTGTTTGTACTGATTGGTTATGCAAGACTACTATATATGACTAGAATAAAGAAATTTCATGATTATCAAGAATTTTGTTTCTTGTCACATTGAATCAGTTTAAACATCTGTAATCAGTTTAAATATCTCAAAACATTATTGTGTAATAAATTGTAGCACATGAAATATGATTTTTAGTTGTGACAATGTATTTTAGTTTAGCCTCCTTGAATTAATACAAATCATRACGTTTGAGACAAATGTTTACAACTTGTCAACCCCTGACTGTTAATGACAAACATCTTCAGTCTTTCTTTTGTTTTTCAGGTTCTTAGTAAAGGAACCAGGGATGGATATAGTGTGGCCAAAGTAGAGTGGATAACAGATGATAAAATTCCTGATGAGGAACAAGGTACAAATGTTGACAAATAAATGCCATAAATAATCTCTTCAGAATATATTATCGTTATAATTTATAGCAATATTCATTCTACTTTTTATAGCTGATCTACAAACTCTTCTAAGGGAAGTTTTTAATGAAGCTACCAGTTGGTTCAACACATTACCACTTTTATTAAGGGTGAGTCATAAAGCTATTAATTTCACTTAAGTGTTTTCAAGAGTGCTGATGTAGGAAGTACAGTCAGTATAGTGTAGTCTGTAATCTTTATATTTTTAAGTAACTCTAACGTCGCATAGTCATTGTGGTAGAGTTTCAAAGTTGCCAAAAGTAATAGTTTAAAACAAAATGTTGTTTGTTTTCAAACYAAWAATGTTGTTCTTCTTTGCTTTCCAGAGGAGAATTGTAAATTCTGTCAGTGAAATGCCTCAGTGGCAGGAAGATGGAGACAAATTGCCTCATGGCCCTGAATGGCTATGGTGGCTTGTTACAGTATGTCCTTTAGATCCCAAAGCGCAGCTTGCTATGTTAGGACTTAAATCATTGAAACAGCGGTTATTAATAATGAGAAGAGTTCTTGCTGCAATTTCATAGACACCACAATGCAGTCCAATGTTGGTTCTGGCATGTTTTAGTATCTTGATATTTTGTACATTTTATCCTGTGTTCATATTGCCTAACACTCATTTGACTCAACCTCAAAAGCAGTGAGAACCAGAGCTGCCCAAATCCCAAAGGTTAATAACTTAAAATTTACCCTGTTCTCATACAATTTCGAATGTACCCTTTTGATTTTCAAACCAAAAGCATAATATCCAATTTAGTGAATATAGTCTATTTTATGAACAAATACTGAAGGGGAAAAAGTTTAAAACGATTGTCAAAGATAATTCAAAAAGTTAACTTTATAAAATGGAAATGTACATAAGAATGATTTGTACTAAAGTTTCTTGGATTTCTAGTCCTAACCTTGTCATGCAAGCAAAACAGTACAATTTTGTATGATAAGTCTAACCTATGATACTATGAATACTATTTACCATGAGAAGGCTTTCACAAGGGTTTGCTATTAAATCCAGAGATTATTATATTATTAAAGGCAAAGAATATTATTTGCCTTTTTGCAGTTAAAACCTAAGCAGGCAACATGTTTGCTGTAGCCCTCAAATAAACAAGAGTGCCAAGTAATATTGAAATTATGAAATTTCATCAAAAATCATCAAAAATTATTTTTCTCACATTGCGAATCAATAAAACAAGCTCAAAAACAAAACCTTTTTGGGTTGTTGCCCAATTCTGCCTCGATTTGGTGCAAAACCACAGGTAATCATCGTGCAACTTGTTTCTTAACTGCAAAAGGGGTTATTATGTCTACGGTGGTAGGCTTTCCCAGCAAAGTGAAAGCTTAAAGCAAGATATCTATATAACTGGCAAACCAGTCRCGGTGTTAAGTTCTAAAATTTAATATATAAAGCAGTGCAAATATTGGGGTCATTCAAATGTTGATAAGTTTTATTTTCCTTGAAGGGCTTTTAAATGATAAGACTTAAAATGGTCATGGTTTTTATGTAACTTAAATAAATTGTTACAGCTATTTATGTAAATAAAATATTTCTTGTATAAAATTGYATAAGACGTTTCTCAAAATCACACTATATGTAGGTGAACCTCAGCAGGCATTCATATTCTTGGTATTTGGGATCCCTWGCAACAGATCGGAGATTATTCCTTTAATTGATAATCTTGGTTTTGAGCAAATTGCCCAGTTCATCATCTTTTTRTGACAACAAGTTATATCGACTAATTTGGACCCTCCACAAGTATATGGCCTGATAACTTCAAAYGAAATTTAGCTTAATTTTGCCATTTTATATCCCTCTGGTATCCTCTTGGCTGAGGAATGGGTCACAGTCTCCTTTGGTCATACTCAGACAGAGAGTCCAAGTCTGAGTAGAAAGAGCACAAAGGAAAACAGATACCTGCAGACGAGGCCACATTATCAGCAATAAGGTACCATTATTTTAATGTACTAACCCTTTTAGCTACTCATTCAGTCCCTAAGGGAGTGGCATTTGGGTGGAATTTTTATGGAGCCTTAGAAAAGCAAAACTGTAAAAATATGATGAGTGTGACYTCAAACAGACAGACAATGGTTAAGACAGAAAGTGGTGATATGGGTGAGGGTCATGATAACATTCCTTWTTTCCATTTTTCCTTTTGTCTCTCCTTTTTGCTTCTTTTTCACTTCATATTTCCAGTACACCCGCATCATCGTAATGGTATCCCAAATCCTTGATTTCCCCACAGTGTTTCAACAAGTGCAAAGGGATTTTCTCTGTTTGCCCTGGTTTCAACTGACTATGTTTTTTGTTTTGTTTTTTTTTTGTTTTGTTTTTTAAGAGAGCAGAACAGGCCAGCAATGTCCTCATATGACAGTTAGGACTTGCTGTKTGGTCTTTCCATATAGCTCTTGACTGAGCTTTCAGTCTTGTAACCACTAACAGACATAATACAACGTGGRTCAAACCCACATTTGTTGAGAATGGTAACTGCTGTAGCTCGTATAGAATGGTTCGTGTACACAGTTGATAGTTGTGCTTGTTGAGAAATRAATTTCATCTTTTTACCAAGTGATTGTTGACCAACAACAACATTTTCATACCATACTTGACCATCATTGCATTGATCTGATTGCTTCGGTCTTTGGAAGAAGAACTCATTCAGTGGGTTTAAGTGACTTAGGTATTTTTCAAAAGAACGTACTGGACAAAATGGTCCATTATTTGCTACCATGACRCCTTCGTTATCAGATTGATCGCCGTCGTCTGATAACTTCACGATGCATTTTCTCCCTTCATCGTCCATTTCTACATGAAAGTGGTCTTTCTTCAAATGGCGTAAGATTCCTCTTCCTCGAAGGCAGAAAAACATCATTAACTCAAAGAATACTTTGTTCTGTAGAGTGGTGGGGTTCTGTGTGTCGAAGACGCCACATTCGTAAAGTCTTATTATGTCCTCGTCGTTGAGAGCTGGTATATGTTCTGTACTSCCTTCTCTYTCAYTGCACTGYGMTTCATAAACCCGATTCGCCTCACGAAATTCTTTATCYTTCACAATATCYACTTGTAAAATATCCTTGAAGTGTCTTTTTAATCCAAARCGTATCGAAGAAAGAGAGTTTTTTGAGTACTGATTTCCATCTCTTCGCCTCGCTTCCACATAAAACCTTTTCAAAACGTTTGACAATTCTTCGCTGTTTGAAGGAAATTCGATATTATTTTCCGTTAGATATTCTTCGAATAAAAGTTTACAACCTTTGGTCGATTTCTTGGTGTTATAATTGTCTGTTTCTTTCGCAGATTGAGTACTATCAATGTCGRTGTCTGAAGTTGAAGCCATTTTGTCTACATTGAATTACTCAGCTGAACTGAGGTCATGGGTTGTCACGCAATCGTCACATTATTTCCACAGGCAGCCCGGTGATTTTGACGAAGAGAAAGTTTTTTTCCGGCCAATCAAAATTTATATCACAAAGGAATATATGTTTCTCAAAAAGTACTTAAATATATTAGACAAGAGGTAATTGTTCTAAATATCTAATTTATYATTAACTACACTATATACAAACCAAATTTCTCGTTCTACTTCTTTTCTACTCTTCCTAAAATTGTGGTAGACAATCAAGTAGTGCATCCCTGATKCGGATTCTGAGCCCTTCGTTGCTATGGGTGATAATGTGCGTACTTCCTCGATCCAGCTGGATCATGGCATCATCCTCTGGCTACAAAAAAAGTCAAAGATTTTAGTAAGTAGCCCAACTAAAAATCAATTTCTAATTCATAAGATAAAAATGCCAAGAGTCCTATAAGTAGTCCTTATTCACCGTTGAGTTTTCGAGTTTTCGACCCTCAGTGGCACAGGTGACGGTTCAACACTTCATTGCTGCCTCGCGCGTTAACATATGACTCGGTTCGAGCATGCTTCTTTCTGAATCACAATGATTTTTTTTTTTTTTTTTTTGTCGCTCCGAGTATTTTCACAAAATGAAAAGAGTTGGAATCGTGCTTAAAGTCACAGGATCAAAATGTTATAAGAGTCAAAAACATTATTTAAAATAAAAATATAAATATGGTCACACCTGATTTCAAATACTTTCACGGTAGAGACTGACATTTCTAATAAATTAATAAAAGATTATTACTCACAAGGTGAATTGTGTGTCCACWAGAGCTAGATTCGATGTTAACATCATGAATTCCTCGCTGAAAAAGCAACATAAAACAATTTTGGTTACCGCCACCAATGCAAAACAAGACCAATTCGTAAATTTTAGCTTTTGCATTTTCGCGTGTGCTTTGCTTGATCAAAGTCTACGAGGGATTTGAATTGAAAACTTTCAATATACACACTTCRTTTCTTGTAATTTTCTGATAGAAGGGGTCTTGTTGCTCCCATTGGTTATTTCTCGAACGTCAGTAAGAATTSTCGGAGAGAAATACTGAAAACACGGGGAAATGTGAATGCTTTCTCCACTCTGATTATGCTCCTACTGAGCGGTCATACAAATACCACATCACATCATAGTTCGAAACAATTTACATCACTTCTTCTATCCATATGCGATGGCATCAATATCATCATAAATTCCAATAATAGACTAAAAGGTAAATCCAACAATTTCACTACAAACTCATTTTTTGTAATAATTGCTAGTACCTTAGCGAGCGATTGTATGAAATCTTCAACCAAAACTGTTCCCCAAAGATGACGAGATTGTTGATGCTTGGCTATATCGCTTCTGGATCTATAAAAACAATTAAATTCAAAACCCATTACAATTCATTACAATTATTTATAGTGTCCATTAACCTTCAGCATAATTTACTATTGTCGTGRAAATAACGTACTGCCGGAAGATCAAGATGGCGGAAGATCTGTGGAGCTAGGGATGGRGTGAAGGGGGGTAATGTACGATGCCTCTATGGCCATCCCCTGGATCTACACCTGAGAAACACTGATAATAAGAAAGCAAATATACCTCAAARGAACGTTTTTTTGCATAGTGCAATCATGGGTTTTGATGTTTTGATTGTCTTTTTAGGATAATTCGATTGGTTTCGTCGAGGGGATGGGGGAGTTTATTTATTTTTTTAGTCACAAGTTCAATAACTAACAGCACTAAATGTGTCAAGAAGCACTCAACTTACTCTTTTTTACTGTCTTCTAATCCAAATGAAAGAGGTTCTAGMGTGTACTTGTTRTCTTTGGTTACCAAGGTACCTGTTACCGTAGCAACGGCCACACCTGGACGCACTTCGTAAGGGTGAAGTAAKTGACTGATCTACATTAAAATAACAGCAKCTAAATAATTTTCGTTCATATAGAGAGCAAGGACAGATGCATAGAGAAGGTGATGTATTAAGGCTATAGCCCACTTTTTATAAGTCTCAAAAATATAGAAGCAAAAATCATGATACAAATAATTTTTTTCTTCGGTGCAGTATCCTAGTCATTCGCGCGCTGTGATTGGCTAGCGCGCGGTCCGGTTTTTCACAATCTGCCCGGTCCGACGGTACCCTGTAGCTAGGCTGCGAGCAAAGTTGCATAAAATACAAATTAAAAAAAAAACAATGTCATTTACCGGCTATAGGTCGGTCCGTATAGAAAAACACTGCCTAGGTCTTTTATGAACGGAACTCGCTGCGCTCGTTCCGTACTGTCAAGACCTCACAACTTTGCTCACAGCTTAGCTGCAGGATACCGTGGACCGGGCAGATCGTAAAAAAACGGACCGCGCGCTAGCCAATCACAGCGTGCAAACGACTAGGATACCGTACCGAAAAAAAAATAATTATTATCAATTTTTTTCTTATATTTTCCTTTTTTAAGAGAATTGGTTTATACGAGAATGGCAAATATGAAAAAAATGCGGAAGCTTTAAAAGAAACAAAGACAGAAAAGTACGCTGAGCAGGAGACGAAGGTGAGKGCGAASTATAAAATACTTAAGTTTGTCCAAATTTTGTCATCGGTTCTAGAAAGACARRTAGCAAAAGCATGCAACAGCTGTYATACCAAGAACAATGCAAACACTACGKGCTTACTACAGTACATCTTTCTAGCATATGTCAAGTGAAGAGAACCTTTGTTGAAATAGCTGGAAGTACAGAGATAAACCGAAGCCATAYTCCCGAAGACCATCGTCTCATGCGTGGTCATCCTCAACTTGCATCCAAGATGRCCGCCACACGAGTAGGAAGAATTAAACACACAAAGATACAAAAAAAWTTGAATAWAATAAAAATGCAATTGATCGTCMATTGTYACGGCAGGAATTCTTCAAAACGACGATAGCCGGACAAATAAAAATGTCCAAATTAGAAATTAAAGAGCAATGAAGTGTATAGAGCCAAACTGTATTTCCCGATTTTATGAATCCAACTGGAGAARTAGCGATYTATTCTCAGYATTCTCCCTCCTCCATTTATTGAGATTAGCCAGGAATTAAAAGCTTCAAAGGAAAGAGACTTTATTTGGGTCGAAAGTGAGGGTTAATTAGGACGAGATGGATTGTTAAGGCATTRAATTATGTRAATCTGACTACACCAATATGGCCATGGACCGTGTCGACTATGAAAATTGAAAATGCAAACAAGGTGACTGAGAATGAAAAGTCATCCTTATTGATTTGTTACATTTATAGAAATATAATTTTCAGTACTCAAATGGGTCACTTAGTTGACATCAACTCATTTGAATTTGAATTTTGAGATTCTTATAACTCAGAAAATACGATTMAGTTCCTTTAGTCTTGAAAGAAATGCTTTTGGCCAATAATAATTTCCTAAAAGTCATGTGCACCGTAAGTACGTTTAGAAAACATATTCCCATAACCGCAATTTGCGAAAAACTTTCACTTTCTAAAGGTGTTGTATTCGCAAAGTTGATTTTCACATCATCAGCATTGTGTGAAGAAGAGAACCTATTTTGTCAACGATGTGGTGAAAGCAGTGGGCAAAGGGTGGCGGCTTGGCTATATTTTTTTATTGTTTCAGTAGTTTCAATACTTGACAGGCAGTTTTGATGTCTTCGCAGCTGAAGTACACAGCAACAAGACATCGACTGACAACAGTACATCTTGTTGGTATTGCTGACCAGCTGCAAACGCAACACTGCAAACAAAGTGCCCGACWCCGAGGTGTATGTATATTCAGCCTTGTACTGTCGAAACTACAAATAACAAATCCTACGACCTGTTCGCCATTCAGCTCGAAGCTCTCGCTTGGTAATCATGAAGCTTCTTGTCGTTTTGCTGTTGGCTTGTGTATCGTACGCCACATGTAGCTACGTCCGAGTGTGCTATCACACTAACTGGTCTCAATATCGACCAGGAGCGGGAAGGTTCTTTCCAGAGAACATTGATCCTTTCCTTTGTACTCACTTGGTGTATTCCTTCGCCAAAATCGCCCAGGACAACAAGCTGGCTATGTTTGAGTGGAATGATGACAAGCTATACCCAAGATTCAACAACCTCAAGAAAAAGAATCCAGGCCTCAAGACCCTGTTGGCCGTGGGAGGCTGGAATCATGAGAATTACAACAGTCCATTCTCAAGGATGGTCAAAACAGCAGCGTCTAGGAAGGTCTTCATCGATTCTTCAATCAAAATGTTGCGAGATTGGGGCTTTGATGGGTTTGACCTGGACTGGGAGTACCCTGGTGTACGCGGTGGATCACCTCCAGGAGACAAGCAGAAATTTACAATCCTTTGCCAGGAACTCTTGGATGCTTTCAAGCGTGAGGCAGCTGCAACCAATCGTCCCAGACTTCTCCTCACAGCCGCAGTTGCTGCAGGCAAAGCTACCATTGACAAAGCTTACGAAGTGGGAAAGATAGCTAAAATACTCGATCTGATCAACTTGATGGCCTATGACTTACGTGGGAARTGGGAATCCAACACTGGACAYCACACAGCCCTAGTAGGACCCCCTGGGGAAATTCTAACAGTCAACTTCGCTGTACAATACTGGATTGATAAAGGTGCCCCAGCCAGTAAGATCGCTCTTGGTCTTGGTACATATGGACGAGCATTCAAATTGGTTGACCGCAACAAGAACGGTTTAGGAGCGGCTGCTCGTGGAAATCCTACTAAAGGRCAGTACACTCGAGAATCTGGATTCTTGGCTTACTACGAGATCTGTAAAATGAATTTGAAAGTGACATCGACACAGCAAAGTGCAGTKAAGGCTCCTTACGGATACAGTGGGGACGTCTGGGTTGGATACGATGACACAGAGAGCTTGAAATTGAAAGTCGACCAAATCATTAAATCGAAAGGACTCGCGGGTGCCATGTTCTGGGCAATTCCCCTGGACGATTTCAGCGGTAATTTCTGTGGTCAAGGTCGCTATCCACTTATGAATGCAGTCAAGAGCTACCTTGGCGGTGGTGGTCCAGTACCTCCTCCAGTTACTTATCCCCCAGTCACGGATGGTCCAGTCACGCAACCTCCGCAGCCTCCAGTTACGCAGCCACCGCAGCCCGGTAAATGCAAGGCAATTCCACCTTACGACAAACAACCCGGTATGCATGATTGGTGTAATCAAATGTGCGCCTTGGGTAACTGTCCTGCTAGCCACTGCAAATGCTCCTAATCAAGTACAACGTTGTCATAATGTTTGTCGCGCAATAGTTAATACTTAGCCTCATTGTAACTAGTTGAAGATATTTAATAGTAAAGTTTGCGCACTGAGACAAAATTGTTTCGTTGTTATTAGACTGAATTCCCTCTGAAAATTGCATTACTTTTATTCAGTGAAAATAGCTCCACAAAGCGCCCAATACAAAATGAGCTGAGTTCATCGAAAATTACTCTACAAAAATAAAGTTTGGACTTGTTTTACTTTGACTTCGTCACAAGTGAGATTCGGCGTGGGGTACTGTTTTAAGTCATGATAGTGTTCCATTACTTATACTTTCAATGTCTGGATGTATGGTGCTACTCAGAACCCATTGAACAAAAATCAGTTATACAATACCACCAGAAAGTTATGCAATATTTTTTGTAATTTAATTTTTGGGTAATGCAATTCTCCCGKTCGATAATTACTATTAACCGTTCTCTCTCACAAACGTTTTGAAATAMGTGCGCGTTCAAAATACCGACGTCACTTCCCTTCTGATGGCGTCGTGCATTTCCAACGAAATCTTACAGTGACATACCATACATACTTCTCTGGTGAGATACGTTATGACGATATTTGAGTATACACCTAATTGAAGGTGTCAGGTCCAAAAAGGTCAAATCATAGAAGCTAAGACCGAAAGGGTACTTGGGAAGACAAACAATTTGGCTATTTTCGTAACAAACAGTTCTCCAGCATAAAAGACTATCATGCAGTTAATCTTACTAGCTCTACTTGCTTAGTATACACCGTATAATCAAATGTAATCCCAATTTAGTGGTACTCAAAATCCCTTTCGGTCTTAGCTTCTATGATGTGACCTTTTCGAACACGACTACGTTTTTTCAATTAGGTGTAATCTGGTGTGCAGTCATTATCCTATACATATAACCTGGGCTACTGGCGGTATTTGCAGTTCTGCACTTAGCGAGAAAAAAGTCATATTCCAATCCAAAAGCCACAAGGACTATCTGTTTTTAATATACACGTGACGTACTCACCGAGTTATCGAGAGTAACCTTTTCGTATTCCCTTGATATAGGCAGTGACAACACATCAAGATGACTGATCGTTGATATCGGACACTCCTGTGGAATCATGGGAACGATCGCTAGAGGTTAATGGATGCTCCGTATGCAACATTTGGCTGCTACGAATATTATAGTTATCTGTAACACGAGGAAATAAGAGAAGCAAAAAGGTCCAACTTGTCGTGCAGCACCGTTCCTGTTCAAAACGATATTTTCCGGTTTCATATCCGATTTCGTTCAACTTAATGCAACTTAGTAGAACCTCAGAACCTTTGGCGAAAAAAATCTGTTCAACTTGTCGCGGAAATTGGTCAGCCAGCTTATCATGGATTCAGCCAATCAGCGCGTGTTATCATTTTCCAACTTGCACAAACGTCCGATACTTCACGACAACTTGGACGTTTTTGTTTCTCGTATTTCGCAGTTTTATTTCGACTTCAAATATAAATCAGATGCAGCATGTTCATTATCATGAATTTGTACTATTAGTTTATGCTTACCATGTCTTGAATCGTCAAATCTGTCCTGTGGGGGAGTAGGGTAGGGGTATGCGTGTATTCATCTGGGATAACGACATGACCAGGCTGAAATAATACATTGAAAGAATCACGCCAAAGACCGCGAGATATCTTTACAAAACGCGTTGTTGCACGAGCACGCGCGCAATCAGCAAAAATGAATAAAAAAAGACTATTCCAACATACCTTCAGTTCTTTGAGAAGTTTATTKATTTGGCTGAAGTTTAATCGAGGATCAATTGGACAATAGCACGCCTAAACGATAGCTTAGATTCAGAATATAGTCGCACTTCCTCATATACTTTAAAACCGCTTTCTCATACAACATTGCATTAATATTACTTAATGGTCAATTAATGGCTTAAATGTTATCTATAACATGTACCTTCATGGCAAGAGGCTGGTAAGGTGCTAGGGCTTCCAGGTAAGGAAAGTCAGATTCTGTGAAGTGAAAACAATAGCAATATGTGATGTACAAAACTACACAGCAACAAACACGGCTTTTCAAATCTTTGCTGATTGAACTGTAAAAAACAATGTCTAAGCTGTAATTTTTTTAAGCAATTTGCTTTGTACAAACTTATCCATATATCAATAATGACAAAATAATAATATTACAATTTTATAGTCCTTACCCAGGACTGCTCTAAGCRCTTTAAGTAACGCYCGGTTCAGACGTCGATCTTTTAAGTTTATGAGCATTGTTGGACGAACTCGTTACWGTCCGTAGTTGTCAAYTGATTTAGACTACAAATTTCTCATGAACTACAGCAAGCAATTGCATAAAAAGCGGGAAAAGATCGACGTATGAACCGAGCCTAAAGTAAATAAATTTATAAAGAAAAGCCATGCTTGATACATTATGTACCGTTATTTATACCTGTAAATATTACTGTATTTGCGCTTGATTTCCCCCACATTTCCATGAAATGCACAGCATCACCAAACCTCAATGAAGGGTGACTAGTGAAGACGATGCATGGTGTTTTAAATGAACCACTAAAACCACCTGAAAAAAAAAAATGATTATATGACAAACTGTGTAAAAATGAATAAAATATGGTATTGCCTTACCATGTAAACTTGGAAAATGCTTTAGTCTTCCTATCTTTACAAGCTGTAGAATAATAGAGATTTAAAATGGATCAAGTCTTACAAAATTCCGAAATTCTTAATGCAATGGTAAGCAAGGGAACTTACATTCAGTTCAAAATGACACAAAACAACACCTTTAGTAGCACACCATCCATTCATTAAAGATTTGTGACAAATTAATATACGTCATACCTCGGCATGTGGGAAGGGAGGCTCTGGGAGATATACTTTAGTCTGTTTACTGTGACATAACCTAATAGGAAAATGAGTATTTAATTATTGATTGCTTTCATGAATATACATTTTCTATCTACATGTAGTTGATGAAAAGTTTAAAAAAAAATTTGAGAATGGGGATATTAAAAACTACCAGCTCAACCTTCACCCTCACAATGCCAATGATCTAAACTGATTTAAGTCTAATAGTTTTGACCTGCTTTACTGTCTAACTTACCATTCTGCATAAATATTAGAGTAAGCCAGTGAACTGTCAGCGACAGGAGAAATAAAATAGATTGGTATGGTCATCAAATTAGCACTATCCAGGTAGGAATATAGACACTCAAACAAGTCATACAGTACTCCCTATCAGGAACAAAAGAAAAAAGTTCTATTACAGTTTCTACCACATTTGCATGAATTCTGACACGCTAATTGGCTGATTAAAGTGCGTTAATAACGGGACATCCACAGAGAGTTGACACCATCATGCCTTGTGCACAAGCTTGGTTGAAAAAAGTAATGTAGTAATGTCTTACCGAAGGATAGCATGGAACTAAAACATTCCCTCCATTTCTTAGAGTGGTTGCTACAGAAATACATGAATTTATAATTAATCTTACTAATTAATAATTATCACTCATGAGCCAATCCCAGAAACACTATTTTTAAATAGTGATGTTAAAACATCAGTTACACTTTAGACACTTGACTGTCACTGTCAGGATCCTGTGTAAGATACTAGTCAAGATCCCTCAGGATCCTAGAGGATCTTCCAAGATCCTATTCAAGATTCTGTTCAAGATCCTACACAATCTGGTTTTACAGAATCATACAGGATCCTTTCATGATCMTGTCTAAGATTTGCACCAGGRATTGCACACCCAATGGACACAACTACAAGATGGTTCAGGGAATTGTCAAGTAGACTTTTGGTGAAGATTAGCAATTCCACATGCCTTGTACAGCATACTCACATAGATGTGAACAGAACTCAGCAAGCATTGCATCTGGGTTSGATGTTGGTGCTTCAGTGAGCCCGGTAGTGATAACAACATCACTGTTTTTTAGAGGTGCTTGATCTAATGGCAGTGGATGAGTGGTGAATGATGAAGACGATGACAAATAGGAAATCTGAAAGACAGCATTTGTAATATGATATCCAAAAAACACAGCTTAAAGTCCTGATACAACTTGGTTCCTTTTCCTCCTGATCACTGGAAAGCTACAAAGCCCAGTAAAACAGAGAATGYACAAACCTTTTCATAATCAGACTTAATAACCCAATTACAACTTCCTATGCAGAATCCAGAACTGAGAGGAGTTAATTGCAGAACACCATAAAGATCCTAAAAGCACGAGAAATCATTTACATGATTGAATRTCATAATGGATAAATTGTACATGCATTACCAGTATAAAAGCTTGTTATTGTGAAGTAATAAAACACTTACGAGTTTTTCACTGTAACCAACACTTTGAATTTTAGAAATGCAGGCTTTGACATCATGCTTACTGGAAAACAATAATTAATATTACAATTGTTGTAGTTATTAATTATATGTTCATGTTAATTAACATTATATTTAGTATACCAGGTTTGTCTAAGGTAAATGAGGCAATGGCTCAAATAAGACTGCTTGCACATTGTGATGCTAGTCAGCAGTTGCTCAAGCATGGGCATGCCTTGTGTTGCTTGTTTSTATGCTCAATGAATTATGCAGATCAACATGAAGGACCTTTTAATAATTTGCTGGTCACAACCAACACTCAATGGCTTCATTATCAATGTTTTTTCTAAATTTTTTCCCTCATTCTCAACAAGATTTGAGAGTTYAAGCATCACGTTTACAGCTAACRGCTAACGGCAGAGCTGAGCACCAATGACCTAAGAATTTCGTGCCTGACCTTGTGCTTTAGGTAGTCATTGGAAAGAGCGACTTTTCACGATTATGGCAAACTCAAAATAACMCACTCTCACATTGAAACTGTAAYGGTAAAACCCCCAAAAGCAGGTCACATGATCTTTTCTTTTGTTTGCACTTTGCCATGAATGTCATGCATAAGCTCTCTAGACAATTATTTTAACATCTACTTTCAAAAGATGAGTTGTACTGACCTGTATAACTTCCTCCATGCCTTGGCACTCTTGATATCACACAGTGGCGATGGAAGACACCTAAAAAAAATAGAAAACAGGTGATAGCCTATAGATCACAGTATTTCCAAGCATCATTTACACTTACTATAATTATATTTACTGTACATTTACCTCAAAACATCAGTCTCTTTCCACATGCTTCCTTTACTGACTTTTGGAACTCTTTCAGCAAAGCTTACCAACTCAAGCATAAAATCTCTATGGTTTGAATACAAATTGAATGGAAAGAGAATGGTCTTTTTCATTTTTTTCAATAATTTCATATTTGAATTTGAATTTGAGGTTAGGGTTAGGGTTAGGGTTAGGTTTTTACTACAAAGACTAAATTGGATAATGAAAAGGAAAATACGCTACCTTCCTATTTGAATAGTTGGATCTGTTGCGTATATTTTCCCAGAAAAATCASAATACTATAATGGAATATAGAAAAATAATCCATTAGTAAGATTATAAGAAAGGGTTCTATGGAWATGGCATAACCTTATAATTATGAAYACATGGTCCTAGCTCAAAGCAGCTTTGCCTTGGAGAATATAACAATCACTGAAGACCACATT